GGGTGGATAACCCAGGGGGGGTAGCAAATTTATATATGTCCTACACCCTTTTTGGGGAAACCGGCCTTAAAACTCGTATGGCTTTCACGCCATTCAGCTCTTTCACGTCGTCGACGCCGGAAGTCAGAGCTGAAGGTGGTGGTTGGGGGCACAGGTGGGTTGAGGGTTTCGACTCTCATGCTCGCACAAGGCAGGCAAGGCTTCATGGGCTTTGGGGCTTAAGGGGTTTAGGGGTTTGGGTAGACCAAGTTCAGCAACCCAAGTCAATGTAGCCCAAGTGATCCCAACATCAAGTGCAGGGCAACAGGGCTAGGGGTGTAGGGCTGAATCTTCCGGGGCCTGTTTTTAGCTGTACCGAGACAAGCCTTCAGATTGATGACGTGCTCCCCAGCAACTACTCACTCTTTCGAAGTTCATTCTGGCACAATCCAGCCCGAACCGCGCGGCGTTACTTAAACGAAGTCGCCCGAACTGCACTCTAGGCCTGGCCTATTATGTCAAAAGGGATCAGGGTCACGAAATCCAGTATGAACCAAGTCTTCAAGTAGTGAATCGTGATTCGCGGCAGTCGCACTTCCCACTCCACTCCGCGTGCTGTCCGTCTTGGGTAGGATGTGAAAAATTGCAGAACCATGTCGATGACATAGACCAGGTCAACAGCAAGGCTGAGAACGGTAAGCAACCCAAACTCCACTTTGAGCAATCCGACCTGCGCTCGCAATAATGTCTCGCACAAGGCAGGCACAGTAGAAAATCTGACGAGCTTCCTTCATGCGATATGTGGTTCTTCTGTCGCTCAGCAACCAAGGAAGTTGTAGTGCGCTGGACTTTAAAGAACATAGGCTTACTTGTCTACACAAACACCTGTTTAAGAAACCAATGTTGGTTTCAACAAGCCGGCCTGCACGGGCGTGACCAGCCCAACGAAGGCTAAAGCAAACATGGTCAGCAGCTGCCAGGTGTTTGCGAGGCCACTGCTGTCCGGATTGATGATGTACCAGGGCTTTAAGGCCTGCAGGGTAGGTGACGGTTTAGGGTTTAGGGTTTAGGGTTTAGGGTTTAGGGTTCAGGGTTTAGGGGTTTAGGGTACCTATAGTCTCCATTGTAGTTCCTTTTTTTGGTTTAACCGGTTATATATTAAGGATTTTATAAGGTATCCCCCAAAAGGAACTACAATGGAGACTATAGGTAGGTGACAATGCAGCAGAGATGATGATGAAACCTGATTGGTTGCCATCACCCTCGTAGGTCGGATGTTGTAACGTTCTTCCAACTTCCAACTGAAAATGCGTACCACTCACCAGCAAGACATGACACAGGCTTTGCAATCTTCTCAGACGAATAGACGGGACAACCCGACGTGAGATCCGTCCCACCCAAACGCACCGCAGGACCCCAAACCCGAATAATTCTCCCGCGAGGAACTCTGAGCTCAAGGAGGTTCACTGCAGCTGAAGAGCCACGAAGTTCTTGGTCTTCTGAGCTCGCATGATCATGAACTGCATCCGCTCTTCCTAAGCGCGGGAATCGAGCTTCGACAAGCCCCACTGATGCTGGCAGAATCTGGCAGATGGGAGGCTTCGTATAGAGCTGAAGCTTCAGACTGGAACAGCACCGAAAAGCAAGTTTCATTTTTTGGTCCGCCTTCGCGTATGCACAGCTAACCCTGAAACCCTACGAAGCTTCCAAGCTAAGCCGCCTTGATGAGAGCGGACGCGCGAGAGCCGGTACCCAAGTCCTCTCTGCGATGCTTCGATGAATCTGAGACGATTCGGGTTCTGGGTTCAGGGGTTTCCGAATTTGGGGGTTAGGGTTAGGGCCTAAACCCTACACCCTAAACCCGGGCGTTTAGGAACCGAGGAAATTGGGTCCCAACGCACGCAGCAAACCCCAATCCAGCAGCCGAAAGCCGCCGAAGCTTGCATTCCAACGTCATCGTAGACCCAAAGGCTCTACCCCGGGGCTCCAAGGAGACAAATAGTCCCTACCTTGGTGTCTAAAAGTCTATAAATAGTACCTACTTTGGCGTCTAAATGTCTATAAACAGTACCTACTTTGGGCTATTTGGAGCCCCGGAGCTAGACTCATAGGCCTTGGGCACAATTAACCCTATAAGCACTACACCCACAGCCCTTTGTCAACATGGGCTTGGCCTCCCAAAAAAAGCTCTCTACAAACACCGTAACCCTGAACCCTAAACAATAAAAACCCTAAACCCTAAAACCCTTTTGCAACTGGCCTGCTGCGACT